AGATAAGACATAGGAGGCTCCATTTTTTCAATTTATGAAAAAAAGAATATTTATCAGATTAAATTGGAAAAGATAATGTATCTAATCCAGAGAAAACCATGATATTCCACCACATTTGTCAGTATTTTATTACTACACCAAATTATACCAGATAAAAGCTATGGTTTATGTAGGTTATAGTTTTAGAAGCTCAAGGGCATGACACCTACCTTAACTTTGTTCTGGTGAGAGCCCCATGGCAGCTGGTTGATGGCAATTAAAGGATTGTACACCGTAGCAAGAAGTCACATTGTAAAACAGGAAGCAGAGAGAGCTGGGTGAGACTTGATTCTTTATCATCACCCTATCATGAGAACGCAAAGAATAACATGGAAACTACTTTTCATGGATGTTCCCTGGATGGTCTAAGGACTTCCCATTAGGCTGATTAGGCTCTCTCTCTCTCTTTCTCTCTCTCTCTCTCTCTCTCTCTCTCTCTCTCTCTCTCTCTGCTTTGTGATTCAAGGGATCAGTTCTAGGAACTTGAACATGTCAGGTAAGCTATCTAACACTGAACCACATCCCAAGCCCAGGCCCCATTTCTTAAATTTTCCACAGCATCTCTCAATACCACTACCATGGAGACCAAGACTTCAATCAGAATCTTTGGATGGGTACAATTAAACAAGATCCAGACCATCGCACCCACATTCTAGATCATTCACTCAAGTGACAGAACACTCCCTCCATAATTAAAGACTTTCATTGTGCCTTAATTTGTGGTCAGAAATTCTCCAGATCTTACACAGGATAGATGGCCTTCACTGGGTACCTTAGATAAGGCAACTACAAAATGCTATCATTTGATTTTTGTTTGGTACTTGCATTTCTTAGTACTAGAAATGCATTCTTAGCGAGATCAAATATGTTGTTAAAATTAATTAATTCATGGATATGTTTGTAGTTATGACTATTGCTGCAACAACTTGTCAAAGAAAATTTGAAAAATAAAAATTTGGCAATGGTGATGTATCTTATCAGAAGGTGAGCCTCTTCGATTGTTGGTTACTCTGCTATTTGCACTTATCCTATGTGCAATTCAGCTGTTTGTTTGTTTTTTACAGAACCAAAACTAGTTTTATATTATAACATCCCTGTCATGCAATTAGATATAGCCTATATTTACATGGCAGATATAGAATATGGGAAAAGACAAAATAAATTTTTTAAAGTTTTAATTCCAGATGGAGTAAATTACCAAAAAAATTCTATGTGCTTGCAATACTTCTTGTGCAAAAAGATACACGTGTGTATGTCAAAATAGATAAAAGGCCCTGATTATAATGCCTAAGTAAAGCCAAGTCTTAGACAGAAAGTCCTGGTGTAAAAGTATCAGTGTTGCATTATGATGATATTTCAATGAAGAAAAAGGTTCTTTGGAGGGGCAATGGGATTTCCTTACATGAATGATAATCAGAGACACCACTTTTGCACACTTCCACTTTTCCATTTTCATGTATGTGTGGTTCAGTGGAGTTGTAGGAGCACTTCCTACTTCTGTGGCTGTTCAAAACATGAAGTTCTAAAACTGAAAAAGTGAGTCTAACTTGAGATGCAATTGCAAGGTTTCAATGAGGATGTTATAAGATCATACCCAATATTTCAATTTACTCACTGCTGTGGGATACTATTTTTTGATGAGGAAGGTAATAATGAGCAATGATATTCAGAGACAGGGTTCACTACACCATTCGTTACACTATTCTTGTTTTATCAACTAAATTACTAAGGAAGTTCTGGGGAAGACTGGTGAAATGTGATCATTTGTTTTATAGATGTGGTTCTTCAATACATGATAATAACAAAAAATGACTTAACTCTTTTTGAGGGGGAGAGGGGTATTATTTCTATTAATAAGGCAATAAACAAAATGTAAAATTTCCTGTGAATTCAACAAGAGCTCAACACTCAGAAAATAATGATACAGGGCTGAGATAAATCATAAAAAATATTCAGGGTAAAAACCTAGATATGTCAGGAAAACCTTCGTAAACAAGTTAGACAAATACCTCCATGCTTATCAGTGTTTAATATTAACAATCAGCCCACCATATTATTTATACAGAAGTGAATAAACAACAAAGACGACTCAAGTAACTTGTGACTGTAGGCTCTTCCCCTGAGCATCACGATCCTGGTAGATTTGCACCTTCTTCAGCGTTACAGTAACAATTTCACGGTATCATTTGGAATTAGGTGAAGGTGCTTCAAAGAAATAGAAATAATCTGGGAGACAATTTGTAGTTTTCAGGTGCCTCTGGTAGCAGACAAAATTATCTGGAAAAAATTACTGAGTCCCTAGAAATATAGTTTCGTGTCCCGATAATTACAAAAGTGGGAATGATTTATTTCAGGTAGAAACAGCTTCCTTCAAGGAATGTCTCTTCTTCTGTGTCCTTGAAAACACATTCTGGATTCAGAAGAGACAGTTTGCAGCAGAAATTTCATGGGGTTGCTTGGACTTAGCTACACCAACACATGCACAGAAGAAAGAGAAAGGAAAAGAAAAGACCACGGCTTCGTCAGAAAAACAAGCACTTTTTCCCCCTGGTGTCGTGTCTTTGGATATGTACGGCCTTGGAGAAATGTATAAATCATTTTTATACATGGAACTGTCTTAGAAAACTAGAGATTTTAGTACAAAGAAACCGATTCACTCAAACAATGCCCATTTGCCATTGTTATGACTTAGAGTATCTGTACAAGAGGAACTCATGAAAGGCCTCTGTGTTACATTACTGACCTATAGGGACATGGCGGGCTTATACCTTCTCCAGGCCTAAGTTACACTGAGTATTACAAATAATATTATAACAATGCTGAAAATACTGATACAAAACAGCTTTAAGATGATATTTCCAAAAAATATGCCTCCTTTTAAAATTGAACTGTTTAATCCAGGTTTTCATTTTGAATGTTCCAGCTTTAAAAAAGATTTTTCAAGAAAATACCAGTGTTTAAAACATCTCTTAAAATGTCTATTAAATGACAGATTTTCTTAAATAGATTATTTTTTACAAAGTATAATCCAAAAGTCTATCTTCCAGCAAAATGAAACTATAAACTCCAAAATTCCAAATCAAAAACATTATTTGTGATACATAGCTCTTCCATATCCTGGGAAAAAAATCCTTGATTATTTTATCATGCTTATTTATTTACAGATTTAAAATATTCTAGCAACACGCACCAATTTTCAGTAGAAATAAAGCTGAATTTTACAACTAAGTCATAATTTTCTATAATTCCTTAAATACTGCCCCAGTCTATAATGTATATTTGCCTGAATATTAGAATTTTTAAAGTATGATGAAAATTTTCAACAGCAATCTCATTAAGTCAAGCAAATTGCAGGGTGTATTCTCTTTTGGCAGAATTATAAACACACAAGAGAAAGAAAACATTTGATGAATATTTGTCTTGGTGCACATGCTTCTTTTGGAAAACTGAAACTATAGCATATTCCCTATACTTCTTACTAGCAATTCTAATCAAAGCTAGAAAGTGGATCAAAGTTCAGTAGTTAAAAAAGGGGAGAGGAACTAATGCTTCTCCCCAAAGCATACAGCTCAAATATAATTTTATATTAGGAGATGCATTTCACATATAGTTTTGATTTAAGCAGGTCAGTCAGATGCCATGCTAAAACTGCTATCTTAATTCTCCTTTGCTCATCTCATTTGTGCGTGCTGACGGGTCTGTCGGAGAAGGTGAGGGAAACAGATCATGCACGGTGTAGAACAGTTTCAGTTTCCACCGACTGGGTCTAAAGTGGCTGTGGTCAGCTCTGATCTCGGTATAAGAAAACTGCAGACCTGATTCCTAATAGTTCTTTTACAATTTTGTATTTATTTATGCCTACCATTTGAAATTACTTTCTTTCTTACTGATTATTTTATTTAGATTTATTGATCTATCTCATGTGCAATTAAGTATACAACATATTAGACCTTATTTGTCAAAATATTTGCCATTGCTGAGTTTTAAATATTTGTTAGAAGTTTATTTCTAAGGCCAAATAGCCAAAGTTTGCATATTATTTTACCTTTTTTTCTAAGTCTAAATGACTGGATTTTCAGAGTATTGTTTACAAGATACCAAAAATTGACATTCTGTTTCTCAGTTAATAGATGGGTTGATGTATATAAAGCAAAACTGGATATATTTTTAAATGAACATTTAAATATATAGGAAAATGAACCAAAATAATATTTCTCTCAGAATGTTGAATCCCTGACATTTTTAAAATGCTGATATTTCTATGATAGTGACTCAAAGAGTACAGCGTGTCAAAGTTTATGAATCATGTAACAAAATTCAGCGAGCTTTACCACTTCACTGTGTTATGCTATGGTTTTTCTGTATCAATAGCAAAAACTAAAAGCAAAATTTTTGTAAAGATCAGAGCTGTCCTTCCGTATTTCCTAGCAATTATTCTGTCTGAAATCCTTTGAGCACTACTGTAAACTAAACATTTAAAGGATAAAAGAAACAGCCTTTCCCCCATGAACAGCATCACAAGCTTGAGTATATGTAACAGAGAGACCAAACATCTCTAGGTTACATACAAACAGGCTTCATTCCTCTAATAAAGACACCACCAAATATATCACTTTAAAATTCCTCTATTAACTATGTCATTTAAAATTGTTTACAATTCCTTTCTCTATTTATTCCTTTTATCTATCCTTACAGGGAACAGAGTGCTGACATTACTTTCTGAAATCTCAATGCCTATCAATGATAGAGGTAAAAATTTATCTCTAAATTATCGACTATATAAACCAGCAAGATGTGCCCTTATGATACACATATAGGATAAAATCTTCAAGGCAATTCAATTTAATCCAGTTAACATGCTTGAACCTTCATTCTTAAAATAATAACAAGAACGAAAGACCACAAGTCTTTATGAATAAAAATAAAACTAATAAAAAGTACATGACAATTTTAATATGAGCTATGCACGAGAAACACAAACCATCTTTATCCTACCCAGAGACAAGAAAAGGGTAATTTCATTACCCATCGTGCTGGCCCAGAGTCTGTAATTCAGTGGTATGCAGATTGTGGTGGAGGAAAACATTCTTCCTGCTGTACATGTGTAAAGATATTGGCCCTCTGGGTGGCTGCCCAAATCTGCCTGTAAAGGTCGAATGCTGTCGGGACACAGCAGCCTGCTCCTTTGGTTTCTCTAAGCATGTGGGGAGCCCTTCCGTCTTGGTCACTGGCTTCAGAGAGCTCGGCCCAACAGTGGTCCGTAAATTCTGTGTAACCTCTGAAGGGAGAGGTTCATACGTTCCTCTTGAGTGTTTGATAGCTTCTGCTAGTTCCTTGTCCTTTAAAAAAGGACTTAAACATAGACTTGAAAGTTGGCAGGTGTTGTTTTGGTAGGGGCTTGTCTGGTCAGTTGCTGAGTATCTAAAATGGTCCTCGGTGGGAGTATGTATTGCTCTTTTGTCCCTTGTGCTGAGGTTTTGGCTCACAATTCGATTTCGATACATAGCCTACAGTAAGACAGAAAAGAAGTCTTAAAGACATCTATAAAAAAACATTCAAAGCATATAAAAAAGCAGAGTGGTATTTATACCTTTGTTTGCAAACCCACAACCTTTTTTAACAAGATTTTGAAAAAATATGGAATTTCCATGAAATTAAAGTTCCCAGAGAAATCATACTATGTGTAATGGATATAAGGTTAACTCACCCTAAAAGACATTTTGAGTTAGTTTATGTAATTTCCTCAATTTGAATACTATGGTTTTATCTGAACATACAGATTATTTTAATACATAATAAATGCTAATATACGAGGGGATTATTTTTTGTTGATTTAGTATGTTATATTCACTGCAGTATATACCTAGAAGTTACTGGAATTATTCATATCATGATTTGCATTACCAAAGTAGTAACCTAGAAATTTAAGGAATTAAAAATATCAAAGTTGCTCCAGTGACCTGAGGAGGACAGGAACCACTGAAAGAGTAAACGGATGCTATCTGACATTACCTTTTGAAATCTCAAAGATAAAGATGAAATGAAATTTCCACACAATTCATTTAAACTTTGGGATGCAGTTTATTTACCGCAGTTAGGTTTATAATTACATACCATCTTCCTGCTCGCGACAGGCCTACACTCTAGAGTTAGAAGAAACAAGGCAAGTCTCACTGATCTATGCCAAGGGGGAGTGGAAGATTTCAAGCTTGCACATAAATTCCTCCTAAAAACAGTATTTTCTTGTTTTAGTAAAACACAAGTAGGGAGAAATTGGCTTATTGTCCTAGTGAAAAAAGAATGAGAAGAAAAGTGATGAAAACAAGTAAGGGAGAAAAGATCTGTCTAGATGGCAGCAGACTGGTACCACACAGGCCAAAGGAGCTACTGAACATTTCTACCGACTGGGAGTCTGAAGGGTGTCGTTAAGGGACCCGCAAGCAACTCGGTGGTTAGTACCTGAAGCCAGATGCGAGACATATCATGGGTGCCATTTTTAAATACTGTGAGAAAAATCTTAGAACACTGGAGACATTAGTACATATATGATACCAGCAGTAATGCTTCTTTGTAAATGAATGTTTATTTAAAAAAATTTTTTAATTGAGGTCATTGGTACATTGTAGGTATACAGTAAAGTTACATTCATTATTGGGATCTTGTACCTTTACATGACAGGTCTTGGTTCTCATTTTTACCCCTTGTCCCTGACCTCCCTTCACCCCCTCCTCCCCTCCCCATTTACAAACACTTTATTTCCATTTTTTCATGTTCTTATATTTTTTTGTTTCCCTTATTCCCATTCCCCTACCCTTCCCACTTTCCCTACACCTTTAGCCCTTTTCTTCCTTTTCACTTTGTGAATTAATGTTTATAATTGAGAAATAGTTATATACACTTCTGGTGGTACAATGTGAGACACACACACACAGTGTTAAATGATTTAACCAAGCTACTTAACATACATCACCTCTCTTACTATTTTTCATTTTGTATGACGATGTCTTTTTCATTTTTCTTCCTCCATACATTGCATAAGAAAGTAGAAATGGTTGGTGAAGACATCATTCGCATTACTTCAATGTTACATTTTGGCAAATATTCATTGCTTTCTTTATATGATCTTTTTTGCTCTCCTGCGATATTACATTAAATTGAATATATCATTTTAATAAAGGCATTTTGAAAATATTCAAATAATTCAATCCCATAGTCAGCCCCAGTGCTTTTTTTATATCTGTTACTGATAGGGTACCTGCAAATCTACTACAAAAAGAAAAATATGAAGACTATCACCCTCAATATTAAAAAATACACATTTAAATCTCTCATTAATGCTGACTTGACATAGTTTGCTTTTTAAATTTTTGGTTATGTTTCCTGTTAACTCCAGGATTCATATAGGACATCGAAGATTGTATAGCACAGGGGTTAAGGACAAGGATGTGAGATCAGACATTTATGAGGCAGGTGGTGGAACCACTGAGCTAAATCCCGGCCCTGATCAGACATTTATGGATTCATTTAATGAATACTGATTACTACTGAGGGCAAGGTGCTGCAAACATGATAGGAAATGGTTCTGTTTACAAAAGACTTGTAGCCTTCCTTCAGGTAGGAATCAAACAAAATCAGATGCTTTGAGTGACCATGGCCAGCTAATTAACTTTCCTAGATCTCGTATTTCCTCATCTCTGAAGGGAAAAGTTTTGAACAGACCTTTATCTTTCCCCAAGTTTATTGTAAATACTCAAGGAAATGTTTTGTGTTAAATGTCTAATATTATATCTTGGACATAGTTATCTTGAAGACAACAGTAATAATAATAATCACAAAAACAATATAAAGTGACCAATAGACCATGAAATTAATTTAATAGGTGTTTATGAAACCCTGTAGAACCTAAATGACTTTAGACACTTCCAGTTTGACTTGAAAAAGTAATTATTTGTAGAATAGGTTAGTAGGTTTATATTTATTATTATTGTTTGTTTCCCCAGAACATAGATTTTATGAGATGTTTTTAAGTTTATTATGGAGGAATGAAGAAATGCAGAGCCCCAGACAAAGGGAAAGATCAAATTTTAAAGTTAACCTGTCTCCATTCATTACCTAGGAAGGCCTCAGGTTGAGATGCCTACTGATTGTTGGCCCCAATTCTGGTAAGCAGCTACAGCTTGCTCCATTTATCTGTTGTTTCAAATAGGAAAACACTGGGAAGGGTTATAGAGTTATAAGATTCGATTAGGTGGATTTTGTTTTGTGGTTTGTTTTTTTGCTTTTTTTTTTTTTTTTGTCTCCAGGGAGAAATTCCTGGAGAGGAATCTACTAGACAGTTACATGTTCAGCAAGTAGGAAAATGAACACTCAAATCCTAAAAGTGTATATGTGATTCCAGCAGAGGGAATAAGAACTGGAAGGCACATCACTGTATAATGGGGATTTAGAATCTAGATCTGCAGATGTCTAATGTAATGGGATAAAGCTTAATATTTCCATTTTCACCTTATGTATCTTCTGTATTAGCTTAAAACCTTGAGACAGAGCACCTCTGGGCTCTACAAATGGACATGTTAATCACTTATCATATTACAAGGTTTTTATCCCTAAATTTATTTAACCCGTCTCATACTCCTTCAAGATTGAGGACACCAAGATAAGAGAAGCTACAGTACTTTTCAGGTTTTTCAGCATATCTATTTGTCCCCTCTCACTATGTCCTATTCCAGACTCCTCTAAAGTCTCCAGCCATTGTTCTAGACTGTGATCATCTGAGTTCCAGGAAGAGCACAGCTTCAGAAATCCTTCATGAGATCACCCACACCTGCTAAAACAATCGCCTCATCATTGAACTGCCCCACAAACTGTGAGGTTTCCTCCAGAACTACAAAACGAGACCACAACTCACCCTATAAAACTGGTGCCCACTTCTTTGTTGGTGGTACCTTCCCTGCCTTTTATTTTCTTTTGTTAAGAAACTGGTTTGATCTTTGTCTGCTCTTGGAACTGAAATCACTTATCATTTTCTCTTAATTTTGAAATAAAGCCTTTTTTTCCTGAAAATTCATGCCTGTTTTAATTTCCATTATCACTGAAGCAAGGCCATGCACTAGCCAGTAAAACTGCATTTACTACATTAACTATCCTGTTCATATGTTTAATGTAATGTGGAACAATCAATCTTGAGTGAAAGAACCAAACTGTACAACCTTGGATAAATATATATACTTTTTTTCTAAGCTTCAGTTTCATAGTCTATTAAATGAGACTATTAAAATAGAGACAACACATGTAGATTTGATGAAACTAACAATTTTTTACTTTGCTTTCTATTCTAAAATTATGTTTAAAATAAATGTTTTTTTAACATGTTTTAGAACACATTTAGAAAAAATACAGGAAGATTCCCCTCATTCAAACAAATAGTTATAAGTATTAATATATAAATATACATATATATAAATACTGTATAATACTGTAGACCCTTGACTTACAAATTCAGTTATTTGGCCAGGATTGGTTGTAACTCAAGTTGGTCAATTGAAGGCTCAGGCTCCTCTCTATAGCCATCAAAGTCTTTCTCCTGTATAGAGAGAGATCTCAGTGTCCTTAGAGAGACATTGGCCTAGGATTTCTCCGTGTACCCTACACAGGAAAGGATGCTGTAATGTTCCTTTCAAAACTCTTTAAGGGTTAAATCTGTATCTGAGACCATCTGGAAGCATAAGCAGCCACCATTCAGGTCATAACTCAAGACTTTGTTTGTAAGTTAAAACTAAAATTCCAATCATAATCCAACTTGTTTGCATTCAGACTGGCCCAAACTGTAGGGTCCACAGTACATATAAATTTTTTTTTGGGGGGGTACCAGGGATTGAACTCTGGTCCTTGCACTTGTGAGGCAAACCACGGAACCACTGAGCTAATCCCCGGCCCCAATACATACAAATACAACATGAATATATATCTGGATTTGATTGCTTTGGCCCAGAGAGAAATAAATAACTGCCTTATCTTAATATCAATTGATGTAACTTTCTTTGAAAACTCAAGATTATATCCTTGAAATGAATTTTCAGTGTACATGTCTACTCATATTTTCCTCAAAATCAGAATTATTTCTTCAAAGTATATTAGTTTTAGGACAAGTTGGCTAATAAGTAACAAGCTTATTATTTATCCGTACAGATACTAGCAGAGAATGAAAGGATGAAAAATCTAGTAATGAGTCAAATGTATACATTATAATACAAGTAATTCTTTATTTCTCTACAATTGTCCTCCTCTTATTTCTTCCACTGGAGCATATTGCCTCATTTCATGAAATACAAAATGTTGCTGTTTTCAAACATTATTTTACATGCCTCTAACACAGAAAAAGTAAGCAAACAAAACATGATGCTAATTTAAAACAAATAGAGCTCAAAATCTCATGGCTTAATTTTCTGTCATCCATTAATGAGTCTTCTCAACCTCATGCTGAAATTTCCTTTGTTTCTAGTTGTTT